GCATAGGGGCAGCAGTGACGAACGGGAACGGCATAGGGGCAGCAGTGACGAACGGGAACGGCATAGGGGCAGCAGTGACGAACGGGAACGGCATAGGGGCAGCAGTGACGAACGGGAAAGGCACAGGGGCAGCAGTGACGAACGGCACGTCCGAACGGAAATACCCCAGGTGCTGACGACACTTTGACCTTCAAACCCCTCCTTTCTGAGTGCCGCCCGCACACCATCCAAAACAAAAAACGGAGAGAATGCCGGCCTTCTCCAGGAGAGGGAGCGGCTGTAAACAGCCAGAAAGAGGTCGGCTTCCAGCTCGGGGAGTTACCTGGTGCTTTGTAGACCTCGTGCAGCAGGGCGTCGCTCACCCCGGGGGAGAGGCCGTTCCCCAGGCTGTGCGTCCAGCTCTGGCAGATGGCCTGTAGCAGAAGCGTCTGCGACCGGGTGGCCTGCAAGCTGAAGTGGGGCAGCTCGAATATGCACTCCGTGATGGGGACGCTAGACCGCTTGGTCCTGAGAAAAAAACAGAGGGGGAGGCAAGAGGAGTCAGCCGAGGGTGTGGGGGGGGGGGGGGGGGGAGTGACCGGTGCTACCACTGGTGAGCAGAACACATGCGGGTTACAGTCACTGGTTACTGCAATGGTCCAAATTTCAGTGCATAAAGGGGCTCTTTGCAGGCAGGTTTTACTCAAACGGCATCAACATTACAATATAAATACAAACATGACTCTAAACAGCCGACGATACTAATGTGCAAACCTACAGAAAAATTCATCAAGACAAAGCTTCAGAATGCAACATCAAATATCATGACAACAGCTCCACACAAACACACCACACTGTGTGCAGAATGTGTGTCGGCTGTTCGGTGTCTTAAAACCCAAAGAGGTGATTTACTTCATGCCGATTTGATTCTGATTGTACTAAAAGTTAATTGCAGGACATGTGGCACCATCCCCGGTCCTGGACACCTGGCGCAGTCCAGATGGGCTCGCAGTCCCAGACCCCTGGTTTTATGGCTGCCCGTGATGTTACTCCCACCCAGAGAGAAACTTACAGCAGTGTTTTCCAATCCAGTCCCCGGAAACCCACAGCCGGTCCACGTTTTTGCACCCTCCCAGCTCCCTGCCAGACAGTCCACATTTTAGTCCGCTGTCTGTGAGTCCCCAAGGATCGGATTGGGAAACCCTGACTTAGAGTGAGGCAGCAGCAGCTTGGACTGCTGCTCTGGGAGACACAGGTAAAGAGTGTTTCCTCTAGGCACTGCTGAAGGCACCGGAATCCAAACTGAACTACCCTGAGCTCTACAGCACCAACAAAATACCAGGCATCACGCTGCACCGGGCCACGCCAGAATCCCTCACCGCAGAAAAACAAATCACCGAAAAACAAAAAGGGACACCCGTGAGGCCGTGATGCGTCACGAAGCAGTCCGCTCCTCTGAGGATCTGAGTGACTGCGGCACGCTGAGCCAGACACCACACATCGACTGTTTGTTTAATAACCGATCGCCATGGCAGCACCCCCAGAATAGTAACTATGCTAATTTCTCCAAGAGTACCGGCTCGTCACAACCAGCGAGACGATTAGTTTAACAGCGGCCCAGCTCTGAGTCCAAGGAATTCCGTCGGTTAATCCGGGTTCTGCAACCGTTTAAAGACGCCTTTCTTCTCGGGCCCCGGGTGGGTCAGCCAGGGAGCTTCAAATGACCGTGCCACCACGTTACTCACGAGTGACCCCACTGACCACATGACTCCTGTGTTGCCTCGGACACGGATATCGGGCACCTTTGTTGAATTCCTTCATTCATCAAGATGAGCTCAGACCTCCAGTCACCTTTTCAGGTAGAGAAACACAAAACAAAACGGAGCAAAGATGAGCTCTGATCACGGCCGACGCACACAAGGATTGTCAATCTTCCTCATAATATTGTGGGTAATGTTTGAATCAAGATTTTTCCTACACACATTCCACCATCTTACAGCAATGTTTCATGTCCAATTTATCCCCTCAAAAAAAACAGGAGAGCAGGAAAAGAGCGAAGGCCGAAAACAACAGCAGCATTCCACATGCAGAACAAATGTGTCTCAAAAGCCACTTCAAGGGGAACTGGCAAGCGATGAAAGTTTGTGTGACTTTTCAAGTGTTTATAACATTTGAGCGCGCCATCGCCGCCCATGTGGCCGTCTAAAATTTTAATTGTGCACCTGTATAAATTATTTACACACAACACAGTTGCTAATAACAACGAGAAATTTGATCTAATCAAAACCATGGCAGAAATCGTGCCATAGCACAGTGCCTAAGTGACGGACCGAAATGCGGGTAAATGATCACTAGGTTTTTAGTGCCGCTGCATTGAGCTTCTGCGTCAATTAAGGCAGACCTTAGCTAATTCACACTAGTCTCCATAAGCACAAAGCACAGACTCGCGGAGCTATATTAAGCCCACAGAAGACCAAGCCACCGGGGCCAGAGGAGAGTGAGCACTCAGTTGGGTTAGGAACTGAAAAAGGTGCCTCGGTTACCGAAACAGGAGTATTTTTAAAGTTTTAAATTACGCAGGTCTCGTTTCCCAGAGCGTCCCGGTGGAGCGCTCACCGCCTGTGCGTGGCTGGCACACAGAGCTCCTGGCCCCCCCACCCTGAGGCGAGCGGGGGGCAGAGTGGAGCGCCGGGTCGGTGGTGAGTCATGAACGGAATAACAGGCGGCACCGTGGCACGCGGTCCGCGACAGCGGGTCCCGCATCCATCGCTGCGGCGGCCACTTCAGGAAAGTATCCATTCGAAGATTATACCTCGTGTGCTGCCCCCTGTCTCAGTCAGGAGGAGGATAAACCGTTCATAAATCAAGGAAAGAAAACAAATTCAAGGCACTGGCTCTTTACGTTTCTGAGTTTTTTTGTGTGTGTTTTTCATACAGCTTGTACCCACTGGTCCGAGGCCTTAATGGCCAGGTGCCTCGGTTTTCAGGCCCCTATTTTTAGCTCCACACGAGCCTGTGCCAGTCGCTACCCGTTTGAGGTAAGGGGTTAACTTTCAGGACATCGTGGCAGGTGAGGGGACCCGGCGGGGCCAGGCTGGCATCGGCAGATGGGGCTCTTCTACCTATGGGCACGTCTTTTCCTTTCTTTTTTTTTTTCCTTCAGCTTTTATAAAGTCCCTGAAACCACAGGATAATTGGGCAAGAAGCAGTTACCGCTGCTAAAAGCCAGTGCGCTGGGAACATCTGTGGAGCCCGAGAGGGAAAGAGATGGGCAGGTTGGTCATGATCCTCTCTGGGAAAGTAATTCCACATACCCAGCAGGACAAGAGGCTCATTTAAATAAATAAAATCAACAAACAAATAAATGAATAAAACTGAAACTTGAAAGGACTCCAGTTCAAACTTGGGACTTGGCAGGTCACTGGTTTGTCCCCCTGTGAAGAAAAATTTGACTCCTTTACGGGGGTCTGGAAGAGCGCCGCCCTGCTGTGAGGTTTGGGGAGATGCGCTGGCCGGCACGATTGGATCCTACAGTAAGATTTTGGTCGGTTTTCTGTTTATATGCTTAAACCCACAGCATCAACCAGCGTGCGCACACCAGCAACTGTGCTTGACAGAAGGTGCTTTTGCAAACACCAGCATGGTGGGCAGATCTCACAAGCACCAGCCACGGTGGGGTGGGGGAGACTGGGCAGTCCCTTGTCCTTTTAAAAACGAAAAAAAACTTAAATCAACGCCTCGCGGTGATTGGAAAGCCATCGAAAGCAGCAGCTGCAGCTCTAATGGTTTACATAGAGTCCCTGAATGTGAGCTTGGAGCCTGCCGGCTGTTTCCAGAACGTTCATTTTGTTATTACTCATATCCTGTACAGTAAGAAAACGATTCCCTCATTTTTTCCAAAATAACAGGGACAGCCCTGAGTTAAGCAGAGGACAGTGGCCCTGGCGGGGGGGGGGGGGGGGGCTCACAGGCACAAGGTGCTGGAGCAGCACTTGACCGGAGCCTAGGTGCACCCATGCGCTTACCCGCAGTGACGGACATCACCTCTGGGGGGGCCACAGGGTTCCTGCGTCTCTGTCCCCCAGCCCAGTTTTGGGGACACCAGCCATTTTACAAACAATCACCCACTTGCTCAGTGGGTTGTTTTGCAACTCAAATGCAGCCAAAGTGTATTATTCCCCGCCAAATAGAGTTTTTTTCTGCAAATAAAAAAACGCTTTCACGGCGATTTCCCTTTTCATTTTCATCCCTTATCAGCGGCTGTTTACAAAGCACATGCTCAGGTAAACACAATCTGTAACCCCTGACATATTAAACCAATGCCACAGATTAATAGATAACCGGGTCAGCACTGACCGAGCTGCTCAACACAAAGGCTCTATAAATCATTCATACCTTCAGCACTCACTCCCTAATTAGTCATTTAAAAGCACGCCACTTCATCAAGCCATCACTATCAGCCCCTGCTGCAGATTACAGGGCGAGGAACCTGACTCAGAAAACCAGCCGCTGATAATCGCCCCCCTCCCCATCCATTCTAACTGGAATGGTAGCTGGGAAGACTGGGGGGGGGGTTAAGAGACTCTGCCCAGTACTCAGCTCATTACTGTTACTAAGATTAGGACGATATAGTGTATAACAGTAACCTGACAGGTGGAGTACTGCAGGTTTCCCTCTCCTCTACACATCTTCCTGTCCCAAGCTGGTGTGCTTTCTGCCAATAAAAAGCAGAAGGATGGGAGGACCTACGACGGAAGGACCCGCAAGACACATGGTTGGCCCATACACATCTGTTATGGGAGGTGAAGGTCACCTGACCCACTCTGGGATCATAACCAGAAAACAAAACACCACTATGACCAGAAGCAGCACGTTCTGAGAGCAGGGGGAAGACCGGGGATGAGAATTACATGATCAGTAAAAAACCAAACCCCCCCCCAGGCTCCCAGGCCTCCTGGCCTATACTCGCCAGCACCCGCATAAGATCCAGAGGGAGGGGTTCATTTTCACGAGGATCACGGCGCAAAAACAACTTAATCGATAAGCTGCGGACAGCTGTGGGGCGGGTCTGCTGTGCCAGGCTCCGCACGAGAGGACACAGCATGAGAACGTCGCCGTCGCGGCTTCCTGCCGTCTCTCGGATTACCGGCCCCCACCACAGGACACGCCCCCTGCTTTCTCCCCCCTCACTTCCTTCCCAAAAGACGCCATGTTCTTCTGGCTTTCCCGGCACTCCAGTGACGTGGCCTACGGGAAGAGGACCCCGTGACAAAGCGCCCTCACTATCTGCGGCCCTCTGTCGCGCCGTGGCTGGCCAAACTCACCACAGCGCAGGACAGCTCAGCTTTTAATGTCTGGGCGGCCGCCGCTTATCGTATTGGCAGCGGGGCAGGGCCTGACGCCCCCCCTACGGCACGTACCAAGGCCGTGACGGCAGCTTTATGGTTTAATCACATTCTTCCCCACTCCTGTCACTCTGGTAAGTGGCTCTCATGGAAACTGTAGCTGAAGCAGATACCCTGAGAAAC